CACCAGTTTCTCTTTTTATTCTTACCATAATTGCTTTTGTTTGTGCAAAAGCCTTTTAAATTTATATAATTGCATTTGATTAGGGTGACCACAATGCCTTTTTAAAATTTGCTTTGAAGTCTCACCATAGCCATAGTTAAGAAAGGTAACTCTTTCCATTCCCTCCTCTTTTTTTTCTAATTCTGTGAATTTTTATATTGAGGCTACATAGACACTCGGAGCTTATTGTTGCATGTGGTGTGAGGGTCTAAACCAGGGGTTTTTTACCTTCTTTTGTGTCATTGGCCTCTTTGGTGGTTTGGTTAAGCCAATGGATCCCTTCTAAAAATAAAGTTTTTAAATACATAAATTAAAATAGAAAAGATTACAGAGAAAACCAATTAGCTGAAATACAGTTATCAAAATATTCTTAAAATAGGTTCATGAATTTCAGGTTAGAAACCTCTTGTCTCAATCTCCTTTCTGCCAAAGTGCTCTCCAGTATTCTCAGTACTTCCTGTTGAAAGGGGTATTCTTCCCCTAGTTGTTTATAATCTGTGGTTTATTGGACAATGGACTACTGTATTTGATTTCTTCTACGCCTTGTCTATCTCTTCTGCTCCATAGATCTACATTTCTATTTTTTTAGCAATATCAAAAAGTTTGAGTGATTCTGGCTTTATAATATAGTTTGAGGTCTAGTAATGCTGTTACACTCCCTCCATTCCTGGTTTTTTTTCTTTTGTTCTCTCTCTTGATATTCTAGACCTGTGTTTCTACAAATGAATTTCATGATTATTTTCTATTGTTTCATAAAGTAGCTCTTCTGTAGTTTAATTGGTATGTTCCTAAATCTATATACCTCCATTAGTGTTCTGTTTGTACCTTTACTGGCACTTATGACATTCGACCTTTTGTTTTACTTATTTCTGATCTCCCCTTGAAGATGGCAGGGGCCATGTCTTATTCTTCTTTGCATGCCCCATGGACCACATCTAGAATCATGCCTTGGATTTGCAGTTTTTGTTTTAATCCAACTCCCACCTTTTGCAGATAATGAAGGTTAGGTGTAGAGCATTGAAATTACTTGTCCATTGTCATACAGGTAGGTAATTCCAGACCCTGAATTCAAACTCTGCTTCTTCAGACTCCAAATTCAATTCTCTTTCTTACTAAACCAAATGTTAGTTGAATGAGTGAGTGAACTAGAATTAGGACCCTGTGGTCAGAGTGAGGCATGCCTGTATATAGCTCAAAGCAAAGGTCACCTTTTAAAAAAAAGAAATTAGCATATAAATGATGATGTATCTTAGAACTACCTCTTTTGAAAACAAAATTGAAAGGAAGCATAACAATTTGTGGTTAAACTAGAAAATGGTTTCAAGACATACTGTACCCTCTACTGCTACATAACAAGCAGTCCACAATATAGAAAATAGAGAGAGATGTCTGACGTGAAATATGCTCGAATGGCTGACTGTGCTGTAGGGAGACCTTTAGAAAAAATAACGAGATGCTTTTGTTGAAAAGGGTTAATCCTTTGGAATTCTGAGTTTTGGGGGATCTCTTTGGAAAAGTTTCACTGTTTACAGGAACAAGTACCTGTTTCGTTGCACTTACATCATCATCATCATCATCGTCATCATCATCATTGTCGTCATTGCCATCATCATGATGACCATCCTACTAGATATATTTGTTATTAGGAGCAAGAGACTTTGCCTCTTTATGTTTAAATTTCTTTACATATAAAATGGAATAGAATAGCACTAATTGATCCCAGAATTCTAGGATTCTGTAGTTGCATGATCTTATCTAAAGGAGACCCTGGTGCAGAAAAGGCCAAAATACTTTGACCATTTTGCCATTGATATTGTCTGCCATAGCCTTTTGAGGCAGGTAGAGAACCAGATGGCCACAGGTAGTCCAAATGGAACAATTGAAAGGCCAGAAATTTGGATGTTGAGCCAGAAGCACCTGCCTCAAAGGATTGTTATGAGGGTCAAATGAGATAATATTTACCTAGTGCTTAGCATAGTGCCTAGCCCGCAGTAGGTACTACGGAAGTGTTAGCTATGATGATGATAATGATGACGTAACATGATAATTCTTTGAAGCAGCCAAAACCAAAATGTGTCTCCTGCTGCATGGTATAGTGGATAGAGTGATAGGCTTGGAGTTAGTAAGACATGGGTACAAATGCTACCTTTCCCTCTTTTTACTTATAAGATCCCAGAGCAAGTCATTTAATCCACCTTTGCTTAAAGTTCTTGCACCAAGAATTCCCCATGGTGACAAAATCATGGATCTTTTCTTAACTGAATCTGTCTAATAAGATTGATTAAATAACTGTGTGGTCCTCTATTTTATATATAAGCAAGAGATAATCAGTTTGTGCATCATCTTATCACCCGTTTCTACATACGTTCTAGGATCATAGATTGTAGAGCTAGAAAGAACCTCAGAGGAGAATCTAGTCTGTGATAAGCTGGATTTACTGAAATCTGCTATAAAATGTAATAAAACTCTATTATAACAGACACAACATGTCCTCCTATAAATTCACATAGGCTTGTGGTTAAATCATACTCCTAGAATTCAAGATACTATGGAGACCAAACTGTGACCTAACATTTTCGTCCTAATTACACAAATGTTGTTCTTACCCCTAACACCTGCCTTATAAAGGGATTTAAAGGATCATAAGTATGGTGCTAGAAGGACCATTAAAGGTTATCTCACCTGCTAAATGCTTACTTTTAATAACAAGGAAATTGCTTATCATATTTGGATAATTTAATGAATAAAGTGAGGGAAGAAGCAAAATGAAAGATTGGTTGTTGTCCTTCGTTCTCAAAGAGGACCAAAATGATATCACTAAGCTAGAGTCAAGTTTCAGTGTGTTTGACTGTGGCTGATCAGACCAGTGTGAGCTTGGAATGTTCTATCATAGGTCAGACACAAATGGTCCATGTGAACATTTGGGGTGGATTCTCTAAATCTGTGCATCTTGTGTTTCTTTTGAGCTACTTCAATTCTGCTTTGCGCAGAGAGTACAGCACGTTCTCTGATGTAGGCACACCATGCTGGGTGGTCCTGTGCCAGTGTCTCCCATGTCATATAATCAATTCCAAAGTTCTTAAGAGAGACCTTGAGAGTGTCCTTGTATTGCTTCTTCTGACCACCATGTGAATGCTTGCCCTGTGTGAGTTCTTCATAAAATTTGAACCGTATGAAATGATATTAACTTCTCAAGTGCTCTGGTAAACTGTAAGACTGTGTGTTGCAGAGAAGGTGCTGATCCATATCAGGAGAAGAGTTTGCTCAGCTCAGTTCCCTTTATTGATGAAATCACAGGTCCATTTCCTGTTACTATCCCTATATTAAGGAAATATACTCAAAAGTATTTTATCAATATGGGTATGCAATAAAAATGTTTTGGAGATCATTGGTGAAGTTTGCAGTGTTCTTTGTGTTCTCTTAGGAAGAAGTTCACATATATTAAAAAGCTCCTAGGAAGGCAAATGGTGATTCTTAAAAGCCAGCATAAATTCATCAGTAAAGTCATGTTAGACCAATGATATTTTGATCAGAACACTAGATCAGTGTTTCAGTAGAATTCTGTGGATATATAGTAAACTTGGGTTTTTAATCAAGATTTTTGACAAAATCTTGTATGACATAATTATAGATAAAATGGAGAGAGGTGGACTCAATGATAAGACATTTGAATGGACTGCTAACTGGATCAGCAAGTCTAGGGAATAGTGAGTGAAGGGATTGATGGGAAGTTGGATAGAGATTTCTAATAGATACCTAGAGATTTGTTATTAATTGGCCTTAGCTATTCAACATTTTCATCAGTAACTTGAATGAAAGTAATAGGGGACATAGCCACTATATTTAAGCCATTTGCAAATGGCCTAAAGATGGGAGAGACCTAACACATTGAATGTTTTTTGAAATTGGGATCCAAAATGAAGTTGACAGACTAACACAATAGATTGGATCATGTATCATGTTGAAGTATAAAAGGATTACTAGTAAAGTCCTAAAACTCTAGTTTAACAAAATTAGCTACACAAATAAAGAGTTGGGAAGGTATGGTTAGACAGCAGTTCATGTGCAAAAAGACCTGGTGGGTTTTAGTGGACTGCCAATTCAATATGAGTCAACAAAGCAATAGGACAACTGCTGGGTTAATGGAAGCATTATATCCAGGATGATACCGCTGTCCTTTTCCTATCTCAGATCACATTTAGAACACTATTTCCAGTCCTGGGTACCACATAGTAAAATTGAAATTGACAACCTACAACATGTCTACAGGAGGGTGAATGTGGCACAGGAATTTGAAATCATACCATAGGGAGGCTCAATTTAAAGAACTGAGATTTTTTGGACTAGAAAAGCTTAAGGGTGGGTGGGGTGATAAATTGTTTTCAAATATTTGAAGGATTGTCATGTGGAAAAGGGATTCAACTTCTGCTTAGATGAGATAAGAACTAAGACCAATGGAAAGACATTACATAGACGTAGATGTTAGCTTAATGGCAGGAAAAACTTCTTAACAGGAAACTGGCCATCTTGGGCATGAAGGGAATGGAGCGGTCAGTGCCTCATCACCTGAACACATCAAAGAGAAGCTGGATGGATGCTTGTCAGGAACATCACAGAGAGGATTCAAGATTTGGATGAGGTCAGACTAGGCAGCTTCATAGCTTCCTTCTTTAGATTCTATGATTCTTCATAATAGAAGGAGATACAAGGAATCTTAGAGTCATTTCTGGAGACTTGAGGGTGGACTATATGACCTTGAATATTTGTTTCATCATCCTGATAGAACTTTAGAGTGTTTTTCAAGAGAGAGGAAGGTTGATTACAAAGTAGAAATCACACGCTTACCTGGTGTATGGGGAACATGGTTTAGTCTATAAGACTGTCTTCAAGTGTTTCTTTGAATATCAAAGATGCCCATACTATAGCCTCACTCTTAATATTGACTTTTTCTTATCTTTCAGTTTGAAATAGAAATTCAGCGGATTTCAGAAGCCTATGAGAGTCTAGTCAAGTCTACCACCAAGCGAGAGTCTCTGGACAAAGCCATGAGGAACAAACTAGAAGGAGAGATCAGGAGACTTCACGATTTCAACAGAGACCTACGAGGCATGTTCATTTCTATGTGCATTTTCCACTCTAAGTTCTGGGTACTTTGTTATATTCCTTACTTATCAACATTCAGAGTTTTCTTTGTCATAGAGCAGGGTTTCTCCTGTGCTAGATAAGCTAGTGAAACTAAACTGCCTTTTTTGATTATTAAAGGATAGAATCATTTCTGTCTACCTTGTAGTTTGTTATGTTGCTTTATGCATTAGAATCACTGATGTTTATGTATTTAGTGTATACATATATATTTTCCTTTTGTTAAAAAATAATGCTACTTGATAAGATGTGGTTAAGGACAGAAAAATATGTTTATCTTTCCTCAGTGGATTCCAGACCCAAATTTAATAAGTAAATTTTCTTCATCTATCCACCCCCCAAAACAAAGAACCGTAAAGAGTACATGCACTATTTGCATTTTAACTGGCTATCTGCCATGAATAGAATTTTATCCTTCCTCATCTCTGCCTCTTGGCTTCTCTGGCTTCCTTCAAGTCCCAGCTAAAATTCTACCCTCTACAGGAAGCCTTTCCCAGACCCTTTCAATTCTAGTCCCTTCTCATTGTTGATTATTTCCTTTTTGTGTTATGTTAGCTTATCTGTACATAGCTGTTTGCTTATTGTCTCACCCATTAGATTATGAGCTCCTTGAGGGTGGTGACTGGTTTTATTTTTTGTTTTTTCTTCTTTTTGTATCTCTACTGCTTAGGATAGTACATGGTGCATAGTAGGTGCTTAATACATGCTTTTTTTTTTGAGTGACTGCTCAGAAATGGGAAATTACCTACACTAGAGTTCTGAATATTTTAGGAAGGGAGGAAGCAGGTCACCCTCTAAATTCCACCTTGTCTTGCTATCATTAACAAGCCTTTTTTTTTTAGTGCCTACCACACATACTATATGGTAGTTACAACCCGCAATTATCATGTTCCAGGTTTTCCTTCATCAAGAGCCATCTATATGTGAGTCACAATCCGTCTGTCCATATTTATTCAACTGCACTATTCAAAATGAATAAGACATTTGGCCCCAAACTATGCTGTTGAATACATTTAAAGATATGTCAAATGGCTCTTAAGATAAGAAGTCTCTACCCTGTGCCTATATCCCTTTTTCATTATTTTGATGTGGTCTATATACCTTCTAGATGTTTGGAGATGTTGGGACCAGGCCTGTTTGAAATTCAGATCAGAGCGCCTTTCCTCCTTCTGTGGCATTGGGTTTCAGAAGGAGAAGGTCAAGTCTCCTGGGAAAGGCCCTGTTTTCAGTAGGCTTCCTGTCTTGGCATGCAGGAGAGGAACAAACATCCAAACATGCCTTTCTGAGAAACTTCCCTGGAACTTCAATTCATGCCCACAGGGCCTAGAATTACATTAATTTGCTAGAAGACACCAACTTGAGCCTACCCGTAGAGACTCTTCTTTTTATGACTTGGAAACAGAAGTATCATACCTCCCCGAAGGGTCAGGAAGATAGCATTTTTCGCCAGTTTCTTGACCTTCTGGCTCTCCCCATTTTTTTTCACTTCCTGCCTGACCATTGATTCATGCCCTCCTCTTGGCATCCATCTCATTTTCTGGGTGGACTGATGATTTTATATCCATATGTATTTGTTTTTAAAGCATTTCCTGTTTATGTGTAGACCGCCTGGAGACTGCCAACAGGCAACTAGCCAGCAGGGAATATGATGGGCATGAAGATAAAGCAACAGAAAGTCATTATGCTTCCCAGAGTAAGTATTCAAATTTATTCATTCTGAAAATGTTTTTAATAAACTTGGGCAGTGGAAGAGAGTCATGATAATTTGGAGAGATACTTTGCTGGTATTTGCATTTACCCATTAATTCAGCATGTAACCTGCTTGGACCGCAGACCAAGTACTATACAGGCCTGCCAAATGTGGAGCAGAGGGAAATATTACTACACAAATTTAGTTTTAGGTCTAGTGTCTCCTCTCTGATTTATGATCTTTCTCTTTCTTTAGGTAAGACTCCAAAGGTGGGGAGTGGGGAAGAAACTTTGCCATACTTTTTGACATCAGACATGTAAAACAACCTTAATGTTTCCTTTTTTTGGGTTGGTCTGGAGTGTAAAGGGAGCTGGGACCACTGTTACTATGACTCACTCTCTAGCACTCACTTATTTTTCATAAGTAAGCAGCAGTTCCAGACCCTCTACCCTTAAAAGCGTTTGGGACATAATGAAATTGTGTTCCCCAAATAAATGGAGGAAATTCCTTTATTCTGCCTGGAGTGGTTGGGGAAGATATTTCATCAACACAAGTAGGAAATACACATGGCTTACAAGAAGCTGTTGATCAAGGCTTAGATTCATGAAGAGTGGGATTATGTTTGGAATCAGAATGGGAAATCTAGGTCCAAATCCACATCTGGGCAGGAGTAGTTTCCACAGGATTCCTGATAAGTGGGCATTGCATTTCTGCTTGAAGGTCTCCCATGATGGGGAGATCTTGAGGTAGTCCTTTCTACTTTTGACAGCTCAAATTTCTAGGATATTTTTCCTTAAATCAAGCCTAAGGTCTGTCTCTCTGTGAGTTACACTCATTGTACCTCCTTCTGCCCTCTGGGGCTGAACCAAATAAGCTGAATCCTCTTTCCATGTAACAGCCCTATAAATCCTGGAAAACACTTCCTCTTTTTTTCTTCCTTTTTCTCCAGGCTAAATAAGCAGTCCCAGTTCCTTCAAAACAGTCTTCTGTGGCTTAGTTTTGAGCCTCTTCATCATCCTGCTTACCTTTTTCTAGCTGTACTCCAGCTTAAGAATATTCTTTCTAAAATGGAAGACCAACTATCCCATGATGTTGTTATTTATTCCTGGATAGAACTCCAAGATTGGGGCATAATTAGTTGAGTCTTCTAGTAACTGTTACCATATTTTATCTTCTTTGCCAAAGCTTCTTTGGTTCAGTTTACATTTGGGTCAAAACTCCATTTGTTTCTCATTAGTTTTGGTTGTTTGTGCTTATACCCCAATACCCCTTTTCCAGAATAATTTTTCTTGAAGTCAAAAATATCAGTACCTTTTTTTTGTTTTTGTAACACTGTTTTCCATTTTTATTTGCCTTTCTGCCTTCCCCAGAAAACAATCTTCTCTAACAATGGATAAGAAAGAAAGAAGGGAAAAAGCAAGTCAGTAAAACTAACCAGCGCAACCGCTGAGTCTGATGTCATCAGACGTGTTCCATTCTCATAGTCTTCTACACGTGCTTTGGTAAAGAGAAGGATGACTTCTGTATGTGAGATGGGAGTGAAGGAGGAGATAGGCTTAGAAGACATCTGGCTGATGTGAGATGAGGAGGAAGGAAGAAGAGGAAGCTCTTGGTGAATGACCTCATTTTTTCAGTGAAATATGAGGCAACTATTTTAGCCATGGCAGGTTTGAGGATGGATGAAAAAGTTTGGAGGAATAAAAGGATTGCCTGGCAACAGTGAAGGTCTAGATGAATTTATGTAAAGATAGATTTGTAATGCACACAGTCAACACAATTTTATGATTTTGTCCAACTTCGTTCAGCAGTATGTATATAGGAGCAAAGACAACAGATGGTGATAGTGATCTAAGGTTGAGGTTTGGCAGGAAAGATCGATGATATAATAAGGGGGCAAGGGACGAGAGAAGAGGACAGTATAGAATTGACTGGTTCATCAATGGGTCAGGAGAGGAAGAGAGGAAAGTGCAGCCTGGGGAAGAACTGAGGGCTAATTAGAGGTCATGGTGAAGACAGAGAACAAGATTTGGAGTTGCAAGGCAGAGTAAGAGGTGGAATGGAATGCTAATCTGATCAGTGTGAGATGGAATCTTAGAGTTGTTTTACTTTGCATTTCTCTGTTCATAAGTGGTTTGAAAGATTTTTTCATATGGCTATTAATAGTTTGGATTTCTTCTTTTGAAAAGTACCTGTTGATAAACTGGTAAGTTGGGGAATGGCTCATGCTCTTATGAATGTGAGTTTTTTAAAATATATTTTGGAAATTAAATATTCAAGAAACTTGCTGCAAAGATTACTTAATGATTTCCTTCTCATTTAATTGCATTGATTTTGTTTGTGCAAAAATATTAACTTACGTAATCAAAATTGTCCATTTTATCTTTTGTGTTCCTCTTGGCTCCTTGTTTGATTGTGAACTCTTATCTATAGATCTAAGAAGTAATTTCTTCCTTGTTTCTCCAGTTTGTTTATGAGGCAAATTTTTATATCTAAGTCATACATTCATTTGGTGATTATCATGGTACATGGTGTAAAGTGTTGGTCTAAACTTAATTTCTTCCAGATTGCTTTCTAGTTTTCCCAGTAATTTTTGTGGAATAGTGAATTCTTACCCCATTAGCTGGAATCTTTAGATTTATTGAACACTGTGCTACTATGTTCATTAGCTTTTCTAAATTGTGTATCTAATCTGTTCCACTGATAAACGTCTTTATTTTTTTTAATAAGACCTAAGTCATTTAGATGATTGCTGTTTTCTAATATAGTTCAAGATATGGCATTGTTAGTAAAGATATTATTTATTTATTTTTAGCCAGTACCAAAGAATTTTGGTGATTACTGCTTATATTATTATTTAAGGTCTAGAAGTGCTATTCTTTTATTCCTATTTTTTTCATTTTTTCCCATAACATCCTAGACCGTTTGTTTCTTCAAATGTATTATAATATTATTTTACATAGTTCTGTAAGATAGTCTGATAGTTTGATTGGTATAGCATTAAATTTGTAAAATTAAAGTAAATAGTATAATTTTCATTTTATTTTCATGGTCCATCCATGACACTGAATATACCTTCAATTATTAAGTCATTCTTGATTTTGGAGTGTTGTATAATTTTATCTATACAGATCTTAAATGTGCCTTGGAAGATTGACTGAAGGATTTTTTTTAAAGCATTTTGTAGTTATTTTGGTGGGGACTTCCTTTCTTTTATGTCAATGTCTCATTTGTTTCTTTGTTGGTTCCCTGAGGTAGTCTGAGTAAGTTACCATGAATTAGTAAATAGGGTTAGTTTTCTCTCTTCTTTGCCTATTTTTATGACCCTAATTTATTTTCCTTGACTTATTGCTAACTCTAGCTTTTCTAGAACTATGTTAAATAGCAATAGAGAAAGGAGGCTTCCTTGCTTTACTTCTGTATTGATTGGGAAAGCTTCTAGTGTTTCTCCATTTCAAATAATGGTAGCTTTAGGTTTTAGGAATATATTTTTTATCATGTTAAAAATGTGCCTCTACATTTGTGCTTTAAAGAGTTTTTAGTATAAATAAGGACACTAAGTCTTTTTCTACAACCATTCATAGGATCCATAATGAGTTTTAAAGACTTGTTTGTCCCCAATTTGGCATTAGCACCATCAGTTAGTTGTTCACTGCTCCTGGCCTATCTATTCTTACAGACTCATTAAATTAAATCCTCATTTATTACATAATCTGAGCCTTTCTTTAAGTGAGGGCTATGTTTAGAATTTCAACGTGTTAATTATAAATGATAATGTGTATAGGTAAAAGAATTGCACTAGTATCAGGAGTGTATATATAAGGCTAGCACTTCGGCCTTTTGCCTGGGGATGCTGAGTTTGAATCACTCATTTCAGCTCAGAATGGAAAAAATCCATCAGAATCAGTTTCACCTCCTGGGTGCCTCTGGCAAGAGTTTTCTAGAACTAGCTCACCACGACTTAGCAACAGTGCCTGGTATTCTGTGAGCATGGAAACTTTCTTGACACCTCTTAAACCTTCTGGCTTGAAGGCATGGCACAAATGAGGTGGGAGAGGGGCCCCGCTAGCCGAGAGAGAATTTGTAGCAGCAAAAATGTAGCTCTGCTTTGTCTCAAAGGCAGAATCACTCTCTTAATATAAGAGGGCCCAGAAATCTATTTCAGCTGCGTTTCAAATGTTTTTCATCTGTGATGTATGTGATAGGTGAGAAATTGAATCCAGTAATTGTGCTTGAAGCAAATAGGTTACACTGATATGGGGCTAATTTTCTCACTTAGCCTTCATGCTGTATACTTTATGCTTTCCAGAGGGCTTCCCCATCACTTATATCACTTTTCCCCATATTAGAACTAAGAGATGAAGAGATACTATTATTCCCACTCCACAGACAGGAAAACTGAGGACCCCTGCACAAGGCCATTTCCCTCAAGTATTTGTGCCATACTCACAAGATGCATAGCACTTCATTGACACTTCCTGGTGCACAGTAGAAAGCAGATCTTAGTTCCCTCCAAATTGCCTTGTATTTATTACCTTATATTTTCTTTGTATTCATTCTGTATATACTTTTATACATCCTTGTTGTCTCCCCCCTTATAATGTAAGTTCCTTGAGAGTAGGGATTGTTCCATTCTTTGTATTTGCATCCTCACCTCCTAAGCTCCCAGCACAGTGCTTGGCATATAGTCGATGTTAAATTAGGGCTTGTTGATTGATGACTGATTGATAGATGGATTCTCTTGGCTTTGACAAGAATTTAAAATCTAGTACTTACTGATGAAATGAAAGGAAGATCAGAGAATAAAACTCATGGTATTTGAATTTTGAGATCAGTTTTGAGATGTCATGGATGAGATTGGTATAGATAGCCTTTTTTAAAAAAATCTTGGTCCTTAAATCTAAAATAAAACAAAAATATTTACCAATATTTTGGCCAGACAGTTCCTCTCGTTTTACTCAGTCCTTTCTACACTCTCTGGATCACCAGGTAAGAATATGTCTGTA